GGGATGCATTTAGGGTTCATTTAGGGTGCATTTGGACACCAAAATTTCGGCCAAATGCTCCCAAGAAACCCTAGATGCCTTTCTTTCCCTATAAGTACTCTAGGTAACCCACCTTGTAGCCACTTTGGAAATTAATGAATTTGAGTGAGCCTTTGTGCCTCTTCATTCCTTCCTTAGTCCCCTAGGAACTCCATGGCCCCCTATCCTCTCCTCTCTACCTAGAGTGAGCTTGGGTCTTCCTTGGTTGGCCTTCATCATCCTAAGTGAAGTGAGCTAGCCTAAAGGAGCTACACCACCAAACACCATCCATTTCTCTCCTTCATTTTGTGCGTCACCCTTCACCTTCCCAAACACCAAATCCTCCACTTCCATACCCTTGAAGAGATCATCCTTCACATCATATCAACCTTGGAGAAGAGAAGGAATCAACCACTAACTCTCATGGAGAAGTTGGTTCCATCATCAGCGTTTATATCTGGCATGTCGGCGCTGGACCAGGCAAAGAGGTCGGCATTCTGGAGAATCTCAGCTTCAAGCTGCTGTTGCAATTCCGGGCTCAACTGCCTGCTGATTTTTGTGCACTGCCTGGGAAGTTTCCCGATCTGGAGGTCGTCAAGCTCGTCAATGGGGCTTGGCCGTTCGTCATGGGAGTCAGATCTCGGATCGAGGTCAGCAATTTCCACGTGGGTGATGTGAGCCACGGTGGGGGGATCTTTAATTTTTCATGTGTTATGCTTGAATACGGAACGGGTCGTTCCGTTCCATATGTCATGTGTTTTTTTGTCATCTGGAACGGCCCGTTCTGATCCAATATTTATGTGTTATTTGTTCATTTGGAACGGCCTGTTCTGATTTCAGAACGGCTCGTTCCGAAAGTCACTAGCAGCTACGTCAGTGCATCGTAACACGTGTTTTTTTAGGTAATTAAAAGAAAAAAAATTCAGTAAAAAAATCAGAAATTTAGATCCAGTGTGGTATGGTATATTATGGTCTACTAGTTTAGATATATCTAAGGGTGAAAATTGATGATGCACCCATGGACCACTTGTGAAAGTGGTCTTTCAGAGAATTCACCTTATGTTAGATTTCGGATTCTATATTATGTTTGATACATATTGAAAAAATAATAATTATGATGCAATATTAAAATTAGAAATTGTTTTTAGAGATTAAAAAATAGGAATTAAAATATGTTTGTTTACGATTATTAAATTATTTGTCTCCATATAAAAAAATTAAAATTCTAACAAAAGACAATATTATCTATTAAAATTACAAATACCCTCCTCATTCGAACTCAGGATCAAATTTTTTTTTTAAGTAATCAAAATCACCTATAAGTTATAGCTTGGATGGACCTGAAAACGAAACTTTGTAATTAAAAAATAATGTTATCAACCATGCTCCACCATTATTAGTGTATTTAAATATTAATAATTTAATAATTATTTATATTTATTTGAATATGAACTGAAATGTTGGATGTTATGAATAAACTTAATTAAGATTTTTAACAAATCAAGAATAAGTTAATTTAACTTTTGCATTTGTTAATGTAACACTATAAATTGTAGGGTGTTATAATTATTTTTAAGTTATTTTATGTTATTAAGTTTAGTAGTTAATCAATGTTGAAAGATTTTGGGATTTGAATATTTCTTAAGAGTTTCAATAGTGTCAAAAGGTTTTTCAGAGTAAAGAATTTGTTTGATTTCAAGGAGGATAGTATATAAGTTTTTTTCTTTTTAAAGAATATCTCATGATTTTTTTTCCTCTAATGAGAGATTTTAGAGAGGACTTTGGTTCATGAGCTTATGTTTTCTCTCAATCTTCTCCTCTTCATTCTTTAATGCCCATTATGTTGTATTTTTGATCCATTTGTTATAGGAGTCTTCAATTGAGTTATAGTTATGACTTGAGATAACTATTATAAAATTAAGATTCCAAATAACATAATTAAAAAGGCACTATAATCCGATAATACTTGTATATGAACAATAACAAGTAACTGAATAATTGGAGGAAAAATTTGTACGGGTATATTAGGCACAAACTAATCTCCTCGCTACATTAGAGACACCTCAAAGAGTGGGATAACTGGCTCAAAGATTTAACGCAACTGCATACATAAGGCAAGATTTGAACTCCTGATCTTGCTTGAAGGTGGATCATTCCTTATCGCTGAATCACACGCTTGCATTTTGACAAAGTGGTATATTGATGTTACATCATAATTAAATCCAAAATCAGATAATACGGAAAATCAAAATAAAAAAAGGGTAAGGAAGGTAGTGTATAATAAAAGTATTTTGTCGTGTTGTTTTTCTTTGGTCATGTGAAAATCCCATCAGCTCTGAAAAATGGAATTGGAGGTTGAGGCCGAAAAAGAAAGACAACTACAAATGGACCCACTGGGCCAGCTCTGAAAAGAATCCCCGACATTTTCAAAGTTCTATTTGTTTCTTTTCCCGCCACAAATTTCACCATTTTGAAGCCATTCAACACTGTGGGTCGGCAAAGGCCCACATTTTAAGGGCAACTTAGCCATGGTTTTGGGCAGATTTTCTATTTAATGTTTCATTTCCATTTCATTCTTTTATGAGTTTTTATCAATATAAAATTAATTAAAATACATTATTTTTTTTCTATTCAGATATTTTCAAAAAATATTTGACATTTTGCAGAATTATGATAATTTTAATTTTATGAACTTTATCCTTGTTTCTTTTTTTAATTTCATTTTATTTAATGAAATGGGAAAAATTTAATGAACTAAGATGATAATATAGCCAAATAAATTTATCTTTTGTTAAAATTAAAAACATTTCAGATCTTTGTTTATGTACAATAAATATTTAATTGTAATTGTTTTCAGGGAAAAACTTATTTATTTATTCATTTGGAAGACACTTATTTGTTAATTATAAAGAAAAGATAATTAGCGGGATGACATATTTGGTAAAAAATAATAATAAATTAGTCATATATATCTACTATACAGTATACACCAGAAGGGTAATTGGAGTGAGAAAAACGGGGTATTTAAAGTTTAAATTTAGTCCGTAAAAAACTTGATGGTTAAATTAGATTTTAACATTGATTTAGTGGTAAAAATTTTGGTTACTATACACAACATCTAAGATTTAAACTTTATTACAAAGTGTGAATCAAAGTTTAACTAATAATTTCTATTTTGAATTTTGAATATATAAATGTGTTAAAATATATCTACAATAGTTTTATTTTATTTAAACAAAAATTGTCTTTAGCAGATAATATTTGTGTTTTACAGAAAACTTGTGAAAATTTCAAAATTTGAGTTTAACTTATTTAAATATAAGTAATTTAAATTTATTTTTTTTTGTTTCATTTATAATTTTATTTAATACTTTTTTTATATACTTTTTTAGCTTATTAATTAAATACTTAATAAACAAAATCATATTAAATGTATTATTTGATATAGAAATAAGATTTCATTTTCTTACATTATTATGAATATAAAGGTTTTATTTGAACATGTAGTTGGTATGAATAAAATTAAGTTTAAATCTTTTAACCATAAGTTTATATTTGAGTCTCATAAATGAAATAAGTGTAATTAAAGAAACTACTTCAGTAAAATTCATCAAATTGATTCATAAATATATACCCTCTCCTTTTAGATCAATTTATTTAAAAATAAAGTAATACTTATAGTGAGTACCACTTTATATAAAAGTAAATATTGAATTTTAATTTTAATTAAAAATAAAAAGATCTTTACACGGTTAATTAAATAAAAATATCTTAATAAGATAAGGGTGCAATATTTGTTCATAAATGATAATTTATGAATTTATTAACCGTGTATAAAGCAATACAGAGACAATAGAATATAATTAAATTCATATAATAAACGAACATAATAAAATATTGAATGAAGGAATCCAAAAATTTACGAATTACTTAATTTATTAACACTGTTACAGTTACAAATGAAAGTATTATATAGAATAATATAAAAGTAGAAATTGAATTAATTGTGGGTTGAATGATTTTGAAAAAAGATTGAATTGAAATTTGAGAGGGAAAGCGGGATACAGTACAAGGTGCCCTAAATCGAGGGGCCACGTCTCTCTGTCATTCACTGACGCTTTTCATTTCCGTCTCTTGTCTATCTTTCAAATCAAGATTCGTTCATTCAACTCGCTTTGCCTTTTTATATTTCTTCTCTCACTCTTGTCTCTTCAAAATTCACTACAATCTTCTCTCTTTCTCCGCCACTCGCTACGTCTGTAAGTGAACCTCTCCGTTTCCGCTTTTGCGATTCTTTCTTCCTTTCACTTGTTTCTCATTTTCTTTTGCCGATTCGCCCTAACTAACTCCTTCTCGTTGAATTCTTGCTTGCTTTATTCTATTTACTCTCATTCAACTTTCTTGATGCTTTTGACTGATCTAAACCGTTACGCCGTTTTGCATTTTCGTTATCGTTTCTTTGTTTTCATCATTGCAATGAGAATCTTGTTACAAACTGTGAGTTGTGTTAGGTTTGGTTATTCCTTTAATGCTCGGATTCAATAATTTGTTCTGGAATTCTAGTTTGTAGATCGTCCTTAGAGCGTAGATCGTGCTTGTTATTTGTAAATAAACACAGTAACGTCTACGAATTATGCGTAACATTAGCAACAAGGTGTTTCTTGTGACCGCATGAACGTAGGGTTTGTGTGTGAGTGTGGATGTTCTATTTATCGTTACTTTAAATTGGCTGTTACATTGCTCTTTTAATATAATGCGAGTAGGAGGTGTAACTTTATTCGCTTGTATCAATGAATTCGGGGCTGAATAATGGAGTTAATCATGGAAGGGGATAATTCGAAGTTTGTATGCTCATACTTTTCATTCAAGGATTCTGAAATTTAAGCAAAGTGTTGGATAGGATTTTAATGTGGTTTATGTTTTGATATTTTTTGTTTATTGAATTCATATCTTTGGAAAATAGAGAGTAAAGGGTGATAACTGGTCACTGTGTGGGTTTGCTATCCAAATATATGATTCATGTTATTTGTATTTCTTTTCTTAATTTCTACATTAGTATAGTGTTATAGAGATGTTCCTAGCGGATGATTCGAATGGAGAATTGGTACATTTTAGGGTTTTATTTTTCTTCTAGTGCAGAGTTCTTATCATAGACTTTAACTTCAGAACCTCAGATGGAGGATTCTGAAAATTCTAATGCAGGTTGTGGCCAAGGTAATGTAACGGTGACTCCATATTATACTCCATATCCAAGGCAGATGTCACAGAAGTCTGGCCTTCAACCAGTTAATATAGATTTTTCTCCTAGCTCAGGTGGTGATAGCTCTGTGGCTTCAGTGAAAGAGGGCGCTGGATCACCTTCCTCGTCATCCTCATCACCCTCAGATTCAGAGCAAGAAAGTCAAATTGTTGATGAGGAAAAAACAGATCATAAATCATGGAAAAGTGAGAATAGAAGTTATGATGAATTGCTTAGAGAGTTCCTTAAAAAGGAGGAAGCGCTGAACGTTTCCAACTTGAAACTTAAGCTTTCAGAAGAAGAGAATAGAAAGTTGAAGATTCAAATTGAGAAAAATGAGGGTCAGCTTAAGAATGCGTTGGTAGAATTAGAAGTGAAAGAGGAAAATGTTGAGTATGAAAAGGAACAGGTACTGGAGTTACAAGAAAAGACATCTGATTTGGAAAAACATATTTCAGATTGTTACAAGAAGATTACCAAGTTAGTGGCACAGCTGGACTTGGCTGAAGAACAGCTTAAGATATCAAATGATGAAATTTCAAGATTAAAAGAGGAACTTGATAGCAGGTCATCTGGTACAGGTGAGTTGCAAGGTCAGCTTGAAGTAGCGCAGGAAAATGTGACCACATTAGGAAGCCAACTTGATTCAGAGAGAAAGCGGATTCGGGACCTTGAAGACATGGTTACATGGTACAAAGATAATGAAACCAACCGCGAACTTGAGGTGCAAAAGTTTAAGGCTGAAATGCTTGATGCCCAAGCACAGTTCTCATTGGAGAAAGACCAGTTGCATTCTGATATGGTGCGTTTGTCAGAAGAGAAAATACAGCTGGGCTTCAAACTTGAGGAATATGAGTCTAGAAGCAACGAATTAGAAAACAAATCAAGGCAATTTGATGAGGAAAAACTGGAACTAGAAGAGTTGCTTGCTACTAAACAAATGGTTTTGCAAGGTGAAATCAGTTGTTTGAAGGAAGAACTTGATCAGAGAAGGCTCGATGTTGAAGCTGTGAATAAGGAATTTGACAGGCACAAGCAGAAGTATGACATGCTCATGACTGAAAGAGACGAGTTCAATGCTAAGATTGATAACCTTATGGCTGAGGCAAGCTTCCGAAGCAATCACATTGCAAATATGGAGAGAAAGATATTCCAGCTACGCGAACAAAATGTGGAGCTGATTTCAGGATCTGAAGCTACACTTAGTCTTGTAAATGAGTTGAAACTGAAAGTGGACGATCTTGAAAAAGAGGTGACTCGACAGAATGCTGTGATCTCAGACAGGGCTGAGGAGAAGAGGGAGGCAATCCGGCAACTATGCTTCTCGATTGAGCACTATAGGAGTGGATATAAAGAACTTCTTCAAGCATTTGCTGGGCACAAGCGTCATGCCGTTAGAGCTTCCTAAAGTTGCGTTTGCCTGTCTCTTATTCTTACTTTGTGTTGTAGATCTTTCCGTATTATCAATTTTGCATGTCGTTCCCTTATTCTTGTCGAGGATATATACATTGCATAATATTGTCTTCCTATTGAATTAGGTCAAAAATTGACGTTGGTAATTGACATTGATGAAAGTGTCTATGTTCATTTCTTATAGCCTTCATTTCTGCTGTTCATAGCCTACACTTTCGGCGTGAAACTTGTATATATGCTGGGTAATGTTCTCTGGTGTGTAAATGGGATAAATAAAGAGACATTAGGAAGAATGAAAAAAATTATAGCATGGGTTTAGAAGTGTGTTCGCGACGCGTACACACATTAGGAGAAAATCGCGTTAGCCACCGCCATAGCCATAGAATGAATTAAAAATTGCCGATTTTGCCTATTTACTATATTGTAGTAGTAACCCCTGTTAGCATATTCAGCAAAAATATCTGTAGAGAGAGTGAACATTATAACTTAATTGGAAATGAATATATTTGGCAAATACAGTTTTTGATTTACATTAACTAAAAGTAAATTCTGAAAACAATTGGTGTATTCTCATCATGTGGAAATATGATTTACCCGTATAGTGTGTTAACAACTTGGTGCCTAATCCTAGTCGAATTGTTGTCCATAAATGCCTCGATAAAGGTTTAGGCGAATCTTAATAATTGTGTGTTGTGTTTAGATGACATAAAACTGACCATCAGAAGGAGTAATTATAACAGTTCCATTCCCCCCACTACAGTTTAAAGTACTCCCAAGTTCACACGTAGTCCAAGTTTGTAAAGACTTCCGGTTAAAAGGTATGACCTTTTCCTATGAATATAAGTGGAGTTTTTTTTTTTCTTTGCCAGTTCCAAGGACAATAGGTCGTGCAAAGGAATTTGATCGCAATGTCGCTGCTTGTAAATCAGCAAGCACCTGAAACCGAAAAGGACTGTTAAAAATATTACTTATTACTATATGCAATATTCAAATACTTGATTTATCATGATTAAGAAAATTTATTTCATTTATATATATCTTTTAAAATTATTTTTATGCTATTTTCTCTCTTAATTAATATTTTTCTGTTCTTTATCTAATCAGAATATATGATCTATACTATTCTTTTTGAATTTTCTCTTTTAACTAATTAAAATGCATTTTTTTAGAGTTTATAATTATGTATTCTATCAAAATATTTTAATTAAGAATATATTATTCTAAAAATAATTAATATATAAAATACTATGAATTGAGTCTTTAATAAATCATTGTTTCAAGTTGAGACAGAGGTAGTATTAGCTAATTGTTTCATATTTAACAGTTTATTAGTTAAAAAAATATTTGAATATCTAAAAGATACATCTTAAAATTTAATATAAAGTTTTCTTTCATCTCATTTTTTTATGTAATGCATTTTTTAAAAACTATATCTATAT